GTGCGGTGCTGCAGTCAGTCAGCCTGTCAGCGCACCTCAATGAAGTCAGTCAGTCAGTCAATTCCGAATGTGCACCAATTGTGGCAAACGTACTTTTAGTGCAACACACGCTTGCGCAGTGTAATAGACAGTCTGCAAAGTCAGTCAGCGAACCGTTGAAGCGGCGAGTCAGTAGTGAGCTTGTCACGTATTGAATTCGTATGCGACGCTCCCAGCACCCAGCAGGCACCCAAGTGAACCGAGTGAATATTTGTAAACAAGTAATAAATTTCTATATAAACTGTCGAGACAACTGAATAGTGAGTGAAAGATACAAATCGCACACTTCAACATCGACAACGCAGCGGTAAATTGACAGTTTTACGAGGGAGGCGCGAACAAAGAGGAGGGCAGCCGTTTAAAAAAAAAAAAACATTCGAGCATTGATGAAGCGCAGCTGCTTTGTGTGGCGGCAAGCAGAGTGGAGAACAGCCTACAGTAATTTCGAGTGTAAATAAAGCCGCTGATTCAATTCAAGCGCGTAACAAGCCCCAGCCAACGCGTATCCGCGTTCAAACGCACTGCCACGCCCATACGCGCATACGCCCATACGCCCACCCGCAGACTTTACAATACAAACATTTGTGCGACGTTGGCCTCCCGCTGATTCGGCGCACAGTTGTAGCGCTTAGCGCGGAGAAGGCGTAGTGGATATTTGCTGCCAGCTGTAACAAAAACAAAAAGTGTAATAAAGAATAATTATTTAAATTGAAATAAATTAAAAGTTAAAAAAATATGCAAGTTATTTTATAAGAAGAAAAAGAAATCACAAACTAAATTTATTTCTGTGCTCACGCGTACTAAACGATGACATGCTATCAACATTCTATTCAACAGTGCAAAAACAACATAAAGAACTATACACACCAGACTACAGTGAATAGAACGTCAATCGTCATCAGCCCCAACCTCAGCTTCAGGGGAAGAAGCTCGCTCTTGTTGTTGTCTCACCACTGGAGCGACATAAATCCAATGGAAAATGGTGTTCTATCACAGCAACAACAACAACAACAACAGCTACAGCAGAAGCAACAGTGGCGGCGACGAGCTCAACAACAGCGCACATAGTTCGCTGGCATCGGCGTCGGCGCTAACGTCAAAGCAACGCAGCAGCAGTTATAAGAAGTATCGACGCGCGAAACAGCTCCAAACTAGCAGCGTGTTCTGTGGCAATGATAGTTCTAATGCCACATTTTCGCTCGCCGCATCCGCACTGCCACCAGACACAGTGGCAACAGCGACGCCCAATGAGAACGCGCGCACGCCAACGCGCAACAATCGCACGCAAGCAGGCGCGTCATTGTCGTCATCATCCGTCTGTACTGCGTTGAGCGCCGGCTTTAGCACCTGCAGCGCGCTCAGTTTGTCGCTGAGCATCCTGCTGCTCTTGCGGTTAGCGCCCACTGTCAGCGGCCTCGCAGTCGGCGTTGACACCACCAATGCGAACATCACGGATTTGGGTAGTCCCGGTGGGTATTCAAAATAATGTTCAATTAAAACCATTTATTGCAGAAATTTTTATGAAATTAATCTATGTATTAGTACGTATTTTAATATCTAACACCTTTTAAACTTGTATCTACCTTCCATGTTTTTGAAACTGCTGCTGTTGTCGCCTATTGTATAAATTTCAATGAGATTTGTCAATATTTCGTTAAATGCTCTAAAGCCCGAAGCAGCTCGGCCTGAAAGACAGTGGATGATCTGCCCGCTGCATTGTTGGGTCCAAAAACACCTATTCTGTTTTCCATCCTTGACCTGTCTGTGTAACGATATATATCTGAGACTAAGGCCAAGAAGTCGTCCGCAAGTCCACAGGGCTCGGGAGGAAATGCAAAAAGTTTTGTTTTGATGGGAAATTGACTTTGTCACAATATTCAATCAATGTGCCTCCAAAGGTAACCGCACCAAGATTCTGCTCATATCTCCTGATTAACGGTATAAAAGCAGTACCCCAGTGGGTACACCCGTTTAATACCGCCCTCTAAGTATTACTGCCGCGTTTTCCTTTAACAATAATTACCAAGTCGTTTGCATAAACAACGGCGCTATGCCCAAAACTCCTGTATTTTAATTGGAACGTCTCTCATCACTACAGAACAAAATAAGGGTGTAAGATTCCCCCAGTAAGAGTGTAAGTAGGTATGATGTAAGGGAGTTGAAAATCTCATTGCCCGATTTAGAAATACTTAGATACTCTAAGTAAACGGATATAATTCCACGTATAAAAGGCCCCAAAGGGATTGACTAGGCTAGGCGATTAGTGCTGGAAAGAAACAACCACCACATTCTGCTTTAAATTGTTCAAAGGTCTCTACCGCTATCCGTACTGCTTCAATGTCAAAGATAAAGCCAGAACTGCTAGGTCTTCTCACTCTGCGGAACCTATGCTTCGAAGTGGCTCAAGTCAGGCGATCCCGCTCCACGTAAGAACCTAGAAAATAAACTTGAAGCAAGTATTTCAGAAGTCCACTGTCGTTGTTAGTAATAAGGGTGCCATTTTGCCTCCTTAAAAGTTGTATCCCATTGAAATGTTTCCTCAATAAAACTTTCTAGTACCTCTTCTTTTATAGCGGCAATGAATGTGCCTATTAAAGCCTTTTTTGTACCCTTTTATCGGTACCTAGCGCCTAACACCTTTCATAGTAGAGAGAGATTGTGTCCCATTTAATTTATAAGGCATAGCCATCTTTTGAATTTACTGCAAATAATACAAGTAAGCAACAAAAAAAAACAATTTTTCAATTGTGTAACACCACCTAGGGCACTCCGTTTGCCACCATTCCACTTTTCCCCGCCCTAACCAGCTCCTAGTTAAATTTACTAAACATCGATGTTCCATTGGCCCGTATTGCCTCTGATTAAACAATATAGCGCGCTCTGTGTACCACAATTTCCTGCTCCCAACTCATTCATTTGCACAATCAGCAGGTCAGCAGCTGCCAAGAATGTAGGCTAGCCACTTGAGCACCCACCGTGCGCCTCCCACCTCCCAACCGCAGGCAAAGTTCAGTAGCCGAGTCGTTCATGCGCTGCTGGCAATTGCCAGTTGTCGCACGAGTTCTCGGCCGTCAGTCTGTTTGCTTGTCACGTCCTTTCCTTTGTATATACGTGAATGCAATAGTTGTTGCCGCACTGACACTTAGTACTTAGTTTCATTTTCGTTTTCATTTCCATTTAATTTGTTTTTCTTTCTCTTCATTTCTTTTGGTTTCTTCTGTTCTCATTGATTTGTTGTTGTTGTTTTTTCTGTCACTTTTTTACGTTTTTTTTTTGTTATTTTACACCTGTTTCTGCAACGCCTGTCACACTTTCGCATTTTATTCCATTTCCTTTGCAATATCAAGCACCCACCACCGCAGCCATTTCCATTTACACTCGACGTTACCTCAAAGCTATTGCTCTCCGCCCAACAGCCTGGCCTGGCCGCACTCAGCCATACACTGGCTCTAAGCATCAATTAACCCAATTTTCAAATCCATTTGCACCGCTACGCCACAAAATTGCAGAGCAGTGGGCGGTGTGCGGTGTGCGGCGGAGAGTTGCTTGCGAGCAAACGTGTGGAAGAGAGTGTGGAGTGCGATCCCCACATCTCACCAGACCGCTCGACCACCTGCCTGCCTGCCTGCCTACTTTTGCCTATTTCATTTTACTTTGTCCCCCCCTGTTGTGTAAGCTATATGCTTTTTGACCAGGCAGTTCCAGGAGCACCTCACACCTCGATTCCCAATGGCATTGTAGGCCCTGCCGAGCCACATCGCCACCCCCACTCACAGACCTCAAAGTACATATTTACGCAAGAGAAAGTATGTGCAACATGAAGGACTTAATTCACAAAGACACGTTTACCAATGGTGGCAACAGCAGCAGCAGAAGCTTTAGCAATTGTTGGCCATTTTCAGCCAATTCTATGTATGATTTTGTTACTTTTTTCAATTCCGTACTGCTACCAACTTTATTTTTCTCATTTCTTGTTATCACTGCCCCTGGCGGAGCATTTAAGTCTATTTGCAGAGTTGTTGTTGTCAACATCGTCGCCTTCGTCGTCGTCGTAGTTGATTTGGTTTGGTTGGAATTGGATTGGTTTAGATTGGATTGCCATTGGATTTGCAAGCGATAAGCGAATGAAATCAACACTGGAATCGGTTGATATCGGAACGACTTACAAAATACCTGACTAATATTCTTTATTCTCTTTTTAATTAAAATATAATCGGATTTTCTTTGCAGCATTTTAACCGTTTCAATTTTAGCGAAAATAATCCACTTTTTTCTAGATTTTCAGCGCAACGAAATAATACATATATAATCCATTTATTTACAGAACGGTCAGCAAAGCCAGGGTGGAAAACTTTTATGCTGCAGATATAATATTTTTCTTTTCCAATTTCTAGGATATAAGTAAAACACACTTTGAATTTCCCTACAGATTTCAAGTAAACGGGCCAATATGAAAATTAGCTTCAGATCGTTTTAAATTATGGGAGCGCGCAAAACAATGCTGGTGATTTAAGATTTAAAAGATGCCGTTTTTTTTCGTTGCAGAAATTGGCGGATGTTCGTTAATCAGTGACTTGGATCGTAGACCATTTGTATTTTCTATCTTTCTATCTTCTTTTAAGCAAAGCTCAGCAGCTGCATCTTAGACTGAGTAGATTAGAACGTGGACTCGGATGCATTAATTGGAAGGAGAAGAACCAGAAAGCCGAAACTTCGCTTTGATGACACCGAACGAAGCCGATTTATGAACGGAAAGAAACACTCTGGTTTAGCAGCACAATCTCCAGCGGTCAAAATATTCGTGTGGACGAAGGCGGGTGGAGCTATTCAGAAAAATCTCTCCCAAACAGTGTAGATGTATGCGTAGATGTTAAGTTGCTCAAAATCTCTGAGCATAATAATATATACGGGATGTCCAAATCAAAAGCTGTTGTCAGCAAAGTTTAATAGTTTTATGCAAAAAAATTGCTTTTTAATAAATTCGCTTTTAGATTTTTTATAGTGATCATACGTACTTGATTTATGCGTTTTTGATACATCAATGCAATTTAAAAATACAGACATAAACTTTGAATAAAAAGCATAGAAAGTTGTAAATTGAGTGCATTCTCCACTTATATTCAAATAAAATTGGAAGTAGTCAAAAATTACATAGAAAAGTAAAGCTTTTTTTGTTCTACAGATTAGGTTGTGTTCGCTGCCACTGTTAATAAGGAATGTACGAGAAGACCCATGTTTTGTTCTTGCTTCTTGCTCTCTACCTCCATCTCGTTCATACAAATTCGACATAAATCCTTAGAAAGGATTCCATTTTTGGTTATACAGAAATCGGTGATAATATCAACCACTTAGCTAAGGGATAGACGATCAAGGAGAACTAGAGACTTATATATGTTTTCATCTACTATTCTTGGCCAAATTCGGATTACAAGTGCATTCCTTGGCTTGTTTCATGACAAACAGAATTGCTCTATTGCAAGTTAGTTCTACTCTTTTCCAACTCGACCGCAAATATATCAGTGCCAGGAAGGGCAGACTGTATTTGTTTCAATTGCTTCCTTCGAAGAAGTATGATTGCACGGTAAAGATTTATGAGAGCCAAACTGCGATTTTTAAATGTTAATCGAGCGTCCACTTGAATGAGAGTACCTAGGCTAAAGAGAAATCTTTTTGGTTGTTTTTGTTTCCGACCGGGTAGGAGTAGCTATGATGTATTGTGGAATGATTTTCCGTCATCCCTTGTCCAATTTGGTCAAACCGGTTTAGGCGTTGTGCCAACTTCAGTGTAATTTTTCTTTCTGAGTAGTTCGTGTTTTCGTCCGCTTTTATATGTATGTAGATATCTTCGACTCAACTGCCTTTAGGTCAGGTATGCCTAGCTAAGTTCGTCAGTTTTTGCTATCGGAACACTTCTGACATATATTTTTAATTACATCTTCACCAATAAATTTTCACTAATATTTGTCTGGCTTCAGTAGCTGTTTTGTAGTGTTAAAACGCGACTTCCAAATAAAGGCAGAAACGTTTTTTTTTTTAATTTTATAAAAAATGTTTTAAATTTTATAAAAAATGTTTTTAAGACTGCGATAAGGATTTAAAAATGGAATCAGAGGACAACGACCAAGTGTCGAGATAAGTTGTTTTGTCAAATTTAGTAATTTTTAAGCAAAAAACACAACCGACTTCAATTCTCATGTAAAAATTTAAGATTTCCGTAAATTTCTTCATGATCCAATGAACGGAGCTAAGCCCAATTAGAATGGGACCACCTCTGAGGTACCATCTTTCCTTTAAAAAAAAGAGTTATAGAAGTCGGTTAACGTGGTCCAAAGTTATGCGGTTACATAAAAGAAAGAATCAAATATTCCAACGAATTGATAACCTCCTCCGTTTTGTAAAGTCGGTTAAAAACTGTGTAATCCTATCTTACATCTTTACTGGTATTTTATATGTACAAGCGCGTATTTATAAAAAAATAAAAAGTGCGTATTCATAAAATATGTGATAGGTGTATGTATGCATTAAGCAACACTACAAAAAAGTATACATATATGTATGTATGTATGCATATCTAATCCCTTTGTCCTACCTGAGGGCATTGCTCTCAATTCAATCCCTTCTAAAATTTCACATGACAACACATTTTTTCATACTGCATGTATGTATGGATGTGTGAAGAAGCCATTTGAACCTGTCACAATATTAAATTTCAATTAACGCTATGACAAATATCTTTATTTTGCAAATTTTTCGTGGTCTACAAATGCTAAAAACAATTTGCATTTGTTCACCTTTGACTAGTTGCATTAAGTGCACAGTGATTTGGCATAACTGCCAGTAGACCACCGACACACTTCGACCACTTTTAACAGTTTTTACAGCCTAATTATTTATGCATATTTAATTAAATGAATTTATTTTGCGGTTTTTAATTTCCATTCTGCGTTATTATTTAATTAAATTACATTTTAATGCAACACTCATATAAATCACAAACATATGTAGCTGCAGA